ATGGGCCTGTGTTGCATAAGAAAGCAGGCTGAGCAGGGGCCAGGGGAGCAAGTCAGTGAGCAGCGTCCCTCCATGGCCTGTGCTCCATCTCCTGCCTCCAGGTTCCTGCCCTGAGTTCTTACCTTGGGCTCCCTGATGAATTGTGACCCAGAAGATGTAAGACAAATAAACTCTTTCTCCCCAAGTTAGTATTGATCAGAGTATTTTATCACAGCAACAGAGAAACAAACTAAAAGACGATCTGACCCTGGTCCAGACCCCTGAGCCTAACCCTGAGTCCGGAGCCTGGTCCTGACCCCTGATCTTGGTCCTGACCCCTAAGCCTGGTCCTGACTCCAGACCCTGGTCCTGACCTCAAGGCCTGATCATGACCCCTGACCCTGGTCCTGACCCCAGAGCCTGCCTCTGACCCCAGGCCTTGGTCCTGAAATCTGATCCTGGTCCTGACCCCAAACACTGGTACTGACCCGGGAGTCTGGTTCTGACCTACTGAGCCTGGTCCTGACCCCAGACCCTGGTCCTGACCGCGGAGTCTGGTCCTGACCTCCTGAGCCTGGTTCTGACCCCAGAGCCTAGATCTAATCCCAGACCTTGGTCCTGAAACCTGATCCTGGTCCTGACCTCTGAGCCTAGTCCTGACTCCAGACCGTGGTCCTGAAACCTGATCCTGGTCCTGACCTCTGAGCCTAGTCCTGACTCCATACCTTGATCCTCAGCCCAAAGCCTGTTCCTGACTCCTGAGCCTGAACCTGAACCCTGAGCCTAGTCCTGACCCCAGAGTCTGGTCCTGACCTCCTGTGCTCAATAGCTTTATTGTCAACTTGACACTTCTGGGTTGAGGGAGCCTCAACTGGGGGACTACCTGTATTGGACTGGCCTGTGGCCATGTCTGAGAAGCATCTTGATGAGTGACTGGGGGGGGGGGGCAGCCCACCGTGGGTGAAGCCACCCCTGGGCAGATGGGCCTGTGTTGCATAAGAAAGCAGGCTGAGCAGGGGCCAGAGGAGCAAGTCAGTAAGCAGTGTTCCTCTATTGCCTGTGCTCCAGCTCCTGCCTCCAGGTTCCTGCCCTGAGTTCCTACCTTGGGCTCCCTGATGAACTGTGACGAAGAAGGTGTAAGACAAATAAACCCTTTCTTCCCCAAGTTAGTACGGGTCAGGGTGTTTTGTCACAGCAATGGAGAAACAAACTAAAAGACCTCCTGAGCCTGGTCCTGACCCTGGTCCAGACCCCTGAGCCTGAGCCTGAGCCTGAGCCCGGAGCCTGGTCCTGACCCCTGATCCTGGTCCTGACTCTAGACCTTGGTCCTCAAACATGATCCTGTTCCCGACCTCTGAGCCTAGTCCTGATCCCAGGCCTGGTCCTGAGTCCTGATCTTGATCCTGACCCCTGATCCTGTTACTGACCTCAGACATTGGTCCTGACCCCTGATCCTGGTCCTGACCTCTGAGCCTGGTTCTGACCCCTGAGCCTGGTCCTGACCCCAGACCTTGGTTCTGACCCCAAGGCCTGGTCCTGACTCCTGAGCCTGATCCTAACCGCTGAGCCTGGTCCTGACCTCAGAGATTGCTTGTGACCCCAGACCCTGGTCCTGACTCCTGATCCTGGTCCTGACATTGGTCGTGACGCAAAGGCCTGGTCCTGAGTCCTGAGCCTGATCCTGACCCCAGACCTTGGTCCTGACCTCTGAGTCTGGTCCTGACCCCAAGGCCTGGTTCTGAACCCCTATCCTGGTTCTGACCCCTGAGCCTGGTCCTGACTCCAGACCTTGGTCCTGACCCCAAGGCCTGTTCCTAACTCCTGAGCCTGATCCTGACCCGAGCCTGGTCCTAACCCCAGACCTTGGTCCTGAAACCCTATCCTGCTCCCGACCTCTGAGCCTGGTCCTGACCCCAAGGCCTGATCCCAGACCTTGGCACTGACTCCTGAACCTGATCCTGACTCTCCTGCCCCTTCACGGTGCAGCTCCCTCCCTTGCCACCCCCCCACCGCCCACCTTGATATTGCAGGCCACCGCCTTGCCGTCGTCGCCCTTGAACATGAGCTTCATACCGCGCAGCGCGCTCATGGCCTGGATGAAGCCTGCGTACTCGCAGTACTGCACATAGGCCTCGAAGTTGAGGTGTCCTCCAAAACTGAAGGTGTGGAAGTTGCGGCCGGTCATCTCCTCACGGTACGGGTCGAGCATGGGGATGTCAACGTTGCGTATGTCGCCGAACTTGCGGAAGACGCGTACCAGCACGTCCTCGCTGGGCTTCTCGGAGCCTGAGTCGCGGGGCGCGAACCACTTGCAGGGCAGCCCCTCCAGGTGGATGGTGTCGGGCCGCTCACCGGGCAGCGTCTCATTCATATCCTTGGCGTCACGGAAGAACGAATCCCAGTCGTGGCGCGTGGGGAAGTCTAGCTTGAACTCGGCGGCGCGCACCTTGAGGATGTCCGAGAACCCGCTGAGCTTGATGGTCTTGCCGTCCAGGCAGGCCAGGAAGGCCTTGACCAGGCTCCGGTTCTCCACCTCGCCCTCGAAGCGGATGAAGTCCATGGTGCTCTTGGAGATGCGCAGCGTGGAGAACTGGTGGCTGTGCACCATGGCCTTCAGCCGTTCCATCACCTCCCAGTTGGAGATGGACTTGCCGGGTTGCTTGAGCTGTGGCAGCGCCACGCTGATGCTCATCTTCGTGATGGGCTTGAGGTAGAGGCCGAGCGCCGCACACAGCTCCACCGCCTCAGACGTGTCGTGCACGATGGTGGCCGCAGCCATAGCCGGGCGCCTGGAGGGAGAGGGGAGGGTGAGCCAGTGTGGTCACGGGGTCAGTGTGGCCACGGGCTCAGTGTGGTCACGGGTCAAAGTCAGTGTGGCCACGGGCTCAGTGTGGTCACGGGTCAAACAAAGTCAGTGTGGCCACAGGGTCAGTGCACGCACACCCGTGAAGCCTCTGGCCTCAGGCCGGCGCTAGGCCTGGGCACACAGGAGGGCGCACGGCTAATCCCTCGTTGCCCCTGCACAGCACCCCCGGCTCCCACCCCCACCCAGGGCCCCAGACAACTGCACCCCCAGTGTCTGCCCCTGAACCCTGCACCTGACCCAGAGACCCAGCATCCACGTGCCCCCTCATCCTTCAGCCCAGAAATGCTGCAGAACCTGCAGCCCCCCATGGCACCCCAAGCCCCACCGTCTCCCCTGGGACCCCCGCAGTCCTCACCCCCAAACTGCAAACACAGCCTGTGACATCCAACTGGCTCCGCCTTCCCCAGTCTGACACCATGGAAGTCCCGGCATCACCTCACCCCAAGACCCGAAGACCACGACTGGCCCACAACCCCCAGAACCTCCTCGGCCCTCAGGCCTGCATAACCCAGGCTCAGGCCCAGCAACCTTCCCATCCCGGATGCACCCCAGGCACGTGCTGGGTCAGACCCACCCTTCTGCCCTGACCTGCAGACCCCGCTCAGCTCAGTCCCAGGTCCACCCCAACACCCTTCACACCCCAGAAGACTCCACACCACAGGCAACCAACCCAGGGTGTGGCACCTCCGAAGACCCCAGCTCACCCCACAACCCAGACAACCTCACTGGAACCCCTACGTCTGCCACGCAAGCAACATGTCTTCCTAGAGAAACTGCACCCCATGGCCAGTACTATCGCTGCTCAGGACCCCACAACCCTCTCCCATCGTGCCCCAGGACAAGCGAGGGCTGCCCCGACCCCCGGGGTCACCCCCAGACTCCCCATACTGTCCACCCCAGATCACCCCACACCCCCACAGCGGCACCATGTCGACACCTCATACTACCCCGTCCCCTCATTCAGCAGCAGCAGACCCCAACCGCCCCTCAAGTCAGCTGCAGACCGCGTTGCCCCCACCCCAGGGGTCACCCCGTCAACCTGCACTGAGCCCAGGTGCCCAAAACAAACCCAGGCTCTGAGCTGTGGGTCAGGTGAGATTAGGTTCCCAGGTCCAGCCAGGGAGCCCCCGCCCCTCCCTCTCCGGCCCCGCCCCCAGGCCCAGCCGATTCAAGCAGGCTCTCCTGTGGTCAGCTTAGGGCCCAGGAACCCCCAACTCAGGCCTTCGTCAGGCCCCGCCCCCGTCCCGCTCCCTGTAACCCCGCCCCGTCCGTCACTCTCCTCGTGGCCCCACCCCCGCCGCCACTCGGACCGAGGCCCCGCTCCCGCCGTCGCTCTCCCGCAGGCCCCGCTCCCGCCGACTCTCCCCCGAGGCCCCGCCCACCGCGGAACCTGCCGTTACCGACACCGGAGCGGCCGTCAGTGTCCCTGTAGCCCCGCCCCCGCCGCCACTCGGGCCGAGGCCCCGCCCCCGCGGACCCCCCCGAGGCCCCGCCCATCGCGGAACCGGTCGTTACCGACACCCGACAGCAGTCACTCTCCCTGTAGCCCGCCGTCCGTCACTCTCCCTATGGCCCCAGCCTGTCCGTCACTCTCCATGTGGCCCCGCCCCGGCCGTCACTCTGCCCGAGGCCCCGCCCCCTCCGACTCTCCCTGAGGCCCCGCCCAGCCCGCGGAACCGGCCGTTACCGACACCCGAGCGGCCGAGGCCGGGCCCGGAGCCGCCGCTCACCGCCACGGGGCTCGGGCCTGCGTCCCTGGCCGCCGCCCCCGCTACCGCAACGCCCGCCGCTTGCGACTCTCGGCCCCGCCA